CAGATACAAAGTTTCAAACGATGTAATGTAATGTTTGATTCACAACTATAGGATGAAATTTGATTTGCTCTAAAGATATTTCTTTTCCCGTCTAAGAACGAATATTATTAAAAGATCGTATAAAAATGCAATGAAATACGTCTTCGAACATTGATGTACCTGTATTGGCTGTAATAATTCGGAAATAAATTTAAAAAGTCGTTGGTTACAAATTTAAATCAGTACCTGCCATCATCATTAATAAAAGAAAACTAGGTATATTTTGTATATAAAGAGAGAAATCGTCCGGTTTAAAAATACGAGTGAATATAGGCCTACATGCACACTTGATTGTTTAAAAAATCATATTCTATTCTGTGATGGTTCTCATTGTGAAGAACGAAAGTGCAACTATTTACTACTAATAAAATTACTCTCAGGCAGGAAACAATCTACAATGCGAATATTTGAAACTACAGTAGGCCCTACTTTACCGACCATTTGGAGTATTTCTTTCTCTTATCACCTGACGAAGAAGTCCAACTTACGGGGATCCTGATACGTGAAATCTGTCTAAACAAAAAAATTTGTTTCCCTCTTTCGTGTGATCTAAAAATGTCCGTCGCAGCGAAAACTTGTGTTTAGCTGATTGATTGTTGACGTTAAAGTTAATATTTAGTCCAGTAAACTCATTCAGACCACAGACTGACCTAAGATACAGACGAGCATCTTTTTTACGCGTTCAGCTACTGTACTTCCCTATCGCTAGCAATAGTGTAAAGACAATTATTTTTGATCTGTTTTCCAGAACCGATGTAAGCTCAATTAGATTTATAGAACCCGTCAGTACGAAATATTTATTCGAATTAAACAATTCGGGTATAGACTCCCCGTAATAATATTTTTATCTGAAATTAATTATACGATTTTTTTAGCTTCCAAGAAAAGTTAGAATTCCATGAAACTTGTCTTTTTTTCATTAACCGTTTCCTTGTTTTAAAAACTTAAATGTGTTATGAGTTAAGTAGGCCTAGTGGATGGATTTTCTTTCAATAATTTGAGCTCATGCTCCAGTTCGTGATTTCAAAATATTTGCCTCTATTTAGAAGATTTTTGAAAAGGTTAAAACAATGTCGTAATAGTAACAAGAATGTTATCAAAATGTTTAGAATGTAGTTACACATATTGTATTTGTATTAGTCTACTTCCCTTTAATACGTGTAATTAGTAAAAATTGTATAGATTGTGAAACTATTTGAACGAGAAAGATTATATTTTCTCAACGAGGCTCTGATGATGCTACAATAGTAGAACGTCGTGAAAAGTCCCGACAAACAGTGACACGAGTTTATAAGCTTATGTAAATCACAATCCAAAGTTTGTGACCGTTGTACTTTTACGTACAATACCGTAGTACTCGGAGAAAACAGGTTAACACCAGCAGGAAACTTGACTTATTTCTGGTAGCACAGATGATACCTAACACAATCTCCTTGGAAACACGTGCAGTTTAATAAGAAAACTATTGTTGACGTAAACGGGACGTTAACTGACTACTAATGGGCTGAACTAACTACCGGGCAGAGATTAACTTGTCTTTTATTGGCTCAAGACGTAACATTGCAGATTAGGAGTGTAAAAGTGAGAACAATAAACCTGAGAGTAATGTGCGCAGCTGTTCTGCATGTGACGAGGCACGCAGTCGCTGACCTACACAATGTTGTGACAACAACTGTGGTGTGCGGAAAACCCGGGAATCGTACGCGAATGTAGATATTCAGGAGTAAGCCCGTGAATTATTTTATGACTTTGGAATTGATCGAGGAATCTTTTGGTTTTGTATTTGTATAACAATTCCCGAATGATCAACAATTGTGAAAATGATTGCTAGAGACGATCACAGATTTTGACATGATTGCAGGAGATGATCATAAATGTTGACATGATCATGGTTGAATATGATACGTGTTAATTTGAACATTTTTGCAATTTAATTCATTACAGTTTTTATTCGACCATTAACAAGGTTAGAACATCGTTCTTAGCCAACTTCTCATGAATCAGCCAAACCGAATGCAACAATTCCTTAGGTATCTTCCGTAAACATTATGACATGAAAGTTTAACTATGCAATATTCCATTCTACACGGCCTAATTTGGATGAAAATTTAATGAAAACAGACAGAATTTGAAATCAGAAGAAGTCCTACATTGTCGGATGTGTAGACGGGTTAGCATTAGTGCGTTACTGTAGCGACCCCCCATTCTCTCTCTCTCTCTCTCTCTCTCTCTCTCTCTCCCTCTCTCTCTCTCTCTCTCTCGGCGAATGTTTTGATTGCGTTGTTTTGAAAGCCCCCTCCCCACTTATTGGATTTCGAAGGCCCCTACACCGGAGTTAGCATTGGGCTCTTTGGTCTCTATTCTGCACATTATAATTCGTTCCTTGTCCCTGTACAGTACTTGGGATTATGTTCCGATTCTACACACTCAAAAAATCTAATAATTTATACAGGTTAATGTAGTATATTTTTATTCACTTTGTGGTGATTGATTACTGGTGACAAGGTTTTCACAATACCAGGCCTAGTTGTATTCTTGCTTTTTCGATCATATATTTTGGACTTTGGTGGACTTTCATGGTGATACCTCTTTGTTCAGCACTTGCATGCCTATAGTGCAAATGAGGGCAAATAAACCTATAGTTATAGTTCACGTTATCAATGCCTTTTACAATTGGTGATTGGCAGGTTTTGAACCCCGATCTTCAGGAAAGAAGTCCTGCTCTATAACCAACAGACATGTCTTTTACATTTTTACTAAATTACTAAACACAAGTGCTATTATATTGACATAATTTTCATAGCTTAAACATCCTTAATGAAAACGCTACTTTTTGAATCATACATTTAACTTACCATGAAAATATCGAAGGCTCATGTTTGTGAACATTATAACAGCCTTCAGTTCACCATCAAGAGTTCAAGAACTGTCCCACTATTTAATTCGTAACGTTCTAAAAATGAGTTTTAACTTTGAAGTATCCCTCAAAATTAAGGTTGGATTAGGGCTTCCAAAAACCATACCTACGATGAAATTGCATACCCCAACCATCTATATAACATATAATTAAAGAAATATTTCTTAACAAAAGTTGATTCCTTACTAACCTACTGTTGTGTCCTGATCTTTGCTGGATAATGGATGATTTTTGTTGCAGCAATTGATTTAGGGCAAACTACTATCCACAAAGGCCATGATTGAGGAAGCCTATTATCAAAACGGTTTGATGTAGTGTCAGTTTAATTGAATTTCCCAAATTGGGAATAAGCTATCCTAGGTTTAGATACTAGGTAAGCCTTAAATGAGCAAAATAATCTTTGAAAATCTGATCAGACAAATGGACATTTTTGCTTAGTATGTAGGTTTGCTGCGGTGGGGTTAATTATATTATGATTACAGGTCAATATAAACCGTGTATAAAAATACCAAAACCAAGTCAATAAAACATCTCTTTTATATTTTAAATGCTCTAACTGAATTATTGTAGTATTGAAAAACTACTGAAACAATTGAGGATTTGTCTGTAACCAGTTTAACAAAAGCCTTTTCTTGTAAAGAGTGATAAGACTCTTGGCCTGATAATAGAATTATAACTTAAGAAACTTTATGCAACATTTATAATTTTTAAGCCTCTTCAATCTTTAAAACTTTTTAATTTTGGCTGGATATTTTTTCATAAAATTTTATCCACATTTTGTCTTAATTATATCTTAAACTTGATTCATAAACACCTTTTGCATCAACGTGAGCTGGTCTAGTGGTAGAGCGCAGGGCTTTGGAGCCCAAGGTCCCGGGTTTGAATCCCGCCAAACACCAATGGATTTTATCTATGATAATGATGCAAATTTCTAGGACTAGCCTGAAGTTATGTGTAAAACAGTTCCGAGTTAGAATCTAGCGTAATGTGAAGGTGGGACATAAAAAAAACTCTCGAATTTTAAGTTTACATGTTAAATTTTCTATTCTAATAATTCTATAAGTCTTTCATATTTTCAATTTGATTCATGTTCAACATAAAAAATCCATTTGTATTCTATTCTTCAATATGGAAGAGTTATGGGGTTTTGCATTAGAAGTTAGAGCTTAAAAAGTTTTACTTTTTAACCTAAAATTTTTAAGGTTGCTGTGTAGTAAGAAGAAGACAATTAATTGTTGGAGACTACGGGTGTTTTGCTGTGATTGCAATGTATAATCATTAATATTTCCGTGATCGCTTAAGGCAATCAAGGTGTTTATGTGATCGCAAGAGAAATAGAGTATTTTTGATCGTGAGAGCATTATATAATCATTTACATCCATAAAAATACGTTGTTTGAATTTGAATCCATTTTTACTGCATTCTCCAGCTGCTCTGAAAAAATTAATAATCCAAACAGCGTCCCTATTAGTTGATATTGAAGGGACTCTGGTTTTTAAGCCTCGTTCACACGGGGCGAGTTTACAAGCTACTCGCCAGTGTGTTAGAAGCCGGCGAGTCGGCGAGTGTGCTAGTATTTGTTCACACGGAGCTTGTCCACTTGCCAACTCGCAGAGGTGTAGAAAGACGTCGGCGAGTGCGCTTGTAGTCTTTTACACGATGCTTTTTCCACACACTCAGTAGCTAGTTTGAACCAAATCCTCAGACATCTTTGAATAACATGCGCACAAGCACAAGCAACTGTGTTCACACTGGGCTACTTTTCGGCAGGAGGACTGGGTAAAGTAGCGGCAGCGTCAACTTTTTCCAGAGCTTTTTTACAAGCAGCTTTTGAGCGAGTTCGTCGTTCACACTGAGCTATTTTACTAGCTGCGTGTAAAAAAGCCGGCGAGTAGCTTGTAAACTCGCACCGTGTGAACGAGGCTTTACATTTGCTTATTTTGACAATTTCACCAGTCAAAATACCACATGTAGTTTGGTCAAGTTGTAGTTGGTTGCTTGATTAGCCGCGCTATGTTTATAAATATTTATTTATCTGTTGCAGCAATGTCTCACGAGTTTGCGGACACCGGCCGCAACACTACGTTGTCCCAAGGAGACCCATTGTTGCTGCCTTGTACCATAGACTCTGTACCTGCCGCTGACGTTTCTTGGCTGAAGGACTCACAGCCTCTTCCCAAAGATCCCAGGTATACGTCTTTAAAGTTCGTAATTCCCTGTATCAGCTTGGTGTCTAAATTTGATTAAGTAATGCGACAGCAATAAAATCACAAACACAAGTAGGCATAAGCATGACTCATCTGAGCTTTGCTATAGAGTGTCTCATTTTTCCCTCGACCATCTTTGTATTTGGTTGCAATAGCGGCACAATGAAGAGATGCCCCATTAGCTCTTTCTTATATTTTGTGCCGTGATTAGTGTTACTATTGACTTTTGTACACTGAAGTAAATCTTCATCGACCAGCTTTTACGGGACGGTTTTTACTCAGGTTATCGTGCTAACAGACATATATTAAACAAATATACATATAACGTGTTTAATGGTATGGATGTAGATATGCGGAATGAAAAAAAAGTCCCGGGACAGTTAAATATTTCACAATCTATGCTTAAATTTAAGATTTTCTTCTGACTCCTAGGTGATCGTCCCCCTGAGGAGTTAGCGTATCACTAAATAATGTGTTAAAATGGTTTTAGTCCTCAGTAACTTTGTACCAAGTTTGACAGTATATAGCATTGATATATTGATAACATTTTGAAATATTTAACTGTCCCGGGACATTTTTCCACCCTGTATACATACGGTATATTCAGTGGAACCACGTTAACAAGACACTCAAAAACAAGTTGTCCTTGAAGAGCAATTTTCAAATACCCTAGAATTTATTTTACCCCTAATCACATTGCCTACCTCGATAAGAAGTCAACCTTGATAACAAGTCTTATTTAATCATGGTGAAGCCTTACCATGAGACCTACGTACGGTAATAGCTTAAATTCGCTCAAACAAGAACTGTCATATGTACAGTGTCTAATAATGTTACTATCACTCTTATATAAGTCTTAAAAAACAAGTAGGCCTATATGTTAAATATAAATGCATTTAACGATGTAAGATTAAAAAGACAAGCAAAATCAAAAATAACTGTAGTCTATAGTTAGGATTCTTAATTATTTCCCTAGTAAATGTTTATCTTTTAATGGCCTTTCAAGTTGACACAAATCCAACCTAAAGAAAGCAAGCTTAGCTTTTAAGATTATTAAGATAATCTCTTGATGGTTCAACTTTAAAACTATTTTTGTTTGGATTGTCAATTTTCAGATTTTTTACCAAAGTTTTGTATTAACCTGCCAAATCAACTTTAGTGTAGTTTTAATGCTCAGGACAATTTTTTTTTACAAAATAGTACTAAGAATTGCTTAGCTTATCCTGTGAAAAGTTTCAATTTTATGAAAGTTTAAAATTAACAGTTTTAATACGGTTTTATTGAAGTCACCTTTTAGTTTCTCGTTTTATATCCAAACACACTTTTAAATTTTTTCATTCTAGTTCAACATGAGCTACAGGATAGCTTAGGTTGTGAAATATATTTCAATTAAGTTTAACCGCTTGCAATTGAGATCTTGGATATAATTTCTAAAACCCACTTGAATTTGCAGTAATAACCAGACATACCTGAATCTTGCAGAGTTATTCAACTGTTATTCAAATCTTTCATGTTTTGACCTATGCCTTAAATGCTCAACGAAGAGCAAAGGGAGCATCTTTAAAATCCACCAAATAATGAGAGCATTAAGTTTATGTGATGGTAAAATGCAGCTTTGGTGTTATATCAAAGGTTTACAAAACTAAAATAACACATAGGGTCATATGGGTTATTAATGTTACCTAAATTTTTTCAGGCACCTAATACTCAACAATGGAACGCTCATAATAAACCAACTACGGAATGAAGACGAAGGAAACTATAGGTCAGTATTCAAAACAAATTTACCTAACTACCGCTACCAGGTTTGAAATTTATTGATTTAATCAACATTTAGATGTTATAGTATGAGTTATTTGTTTTTAGTGTGATAAATTTATGTTTTGATTTATTATATTGTTGTAAAATAACATTTACAATATGTTTATAATCTTGCTTGTTCCCTACCTTACAGAAAAACCACAAAAACAATTCTGTAGTCCTAAACGTAGTATTTGTCTGTTTAAGAATGTATAGGCTGTTTGTGTTTCCATATATAGATATAATCTGATGGAAGTAAGACTTCTAAATCATCCATTGGGGCAACTTTAAATGCTAGTGCAATAAATTATGGTCCTCAAGGACAACATGAACTCGTTTTTGATGCACCATCAAAAAACTGATATTAACATTTTTCTCCAGAGTTTTAGTCCTGGAATAACTAACTTACTTAATCTGAAATCCCTTGGACTTGTATAACCAGTTTCACATTTTTATTCCTAAAACAAATTCTCAATTTTGTTTGAACAAAGGGGTTTAGATGGAAAATTGTCATGTTTTTTTAGATATTTATGTCCAATACCAATAAAACCTATGAATTGTCAAGTCCTTAGCACACTTACACTTCGGACACCTTGTGTTTTTTCTCCTTTATCTTTTAAGAGTGGATTCAAAGGTTTGAGTTTATGTTCAACCAATTTAACCCCTGATTTATGCTCAATACCAACATTCCTATGAACAATCAAGTCACATACACACACACACATTCTTTCTCCACCTTGACACAAGGGATGTTTTAATTATTAGAAAGTCTAAACTTAGAAGGATTTTCCAGAGCAATTAAACGTCTTGGCAAGTTATTTAAGATTTTCGGACCAATATATTGTGATAACTGGAACATTTTTAAATTGTGAGCTACAGGTTTGACAATATTCTCATTTCTGGTATTGTAATTACGCTTAGTTTGGGTCTCGCTAAAAGTGCGCAGATTTTATGAACCCAGCATGTTATTTAAAAAATATAGTGATCATAAAAAGTTAGAAAAAAGTTTAGTTGACAATTTTGAAAAAGTTGTTTACTAGGAGTTCTAGGAGGATCATTGCCAATCATTCGTAATACTTTTTTTGTAATTTAGAAATCTTTTTTGAATAAGGAGAGTTACCCCAGATCTTAATCACTAATTTAAATTACTAAACATTTTAATATTTTTATAAGGTTTAGAATTTTGTGTTCTAATGTGATGTATATACTCCATGTTTTGAGTGTGATTTATGTATTTCTGTAGCTGTGTGGCCGTCAACACCCTACTAGGCAAGTCCCGTCCCAGCAGCTCTGTCAGCGTAAAGGTTGTTCCTCGGCTAGACCCGGCCCCTCTGGAGATCCTACGACCCGCCGCGCAACAGACCTACGTCAACTGGACCCAGGGAGCTAATGTTTCTCTGGTGTGTGTTGCCCAGGGGACTCCTCCCCCTTTGGTCAAATGGACCAAGCAGCTTCTAGGTGGGTCAAGTTTTATATGTTCAATGACTTTTTTACCACACTACACAGTGAGCAGATAGGATCGGTAAAATCAGTTTAAGTCCAGTAAAAACTATTTCAGTGCGATAAATAATTGACTATTGGATACTAAAGTAGACATCCCATTTATATGGACCAGTTGTCGTCAATTTTTTACTTAAAAAGACCTTAGTTGTGTGAGTCGGTCTCAGAATGTGCTAGTGTCTAAAATTCTATTTTCTACCTTATTATTTTTTTGCTGACCAAGTTGATGGGCCATAACAGCTGCTATAGTACAATAAGTTATTCCACCACTTTGACTTGGTATAAAGGTTTGTCAAATCGACAGGAAATAGTAATTTAGACCAGCACAATCTGTCGGTGGCTCACATTAACTAGGGCGATTTTTATAGAAACACTTTAAAAACTTTAACATGGGGATGGAACATCTAAATGTATAAATAGTCAACAGGTAAATTTACCAAACACTCAAAAAAACATTGTATGTGAGTTTCTTTAACAAACAGGCTTTCAACAAAGATGCATAATAAATATAGACCGGTTTGAACAGGCATATTGCACTCAATGTCGGAGGTTGAGAAAGTTTCCTTTTAGAACAAGTTATAAATTCTGGTTAGTTGTTGTTGAAAACATTTATATAACAAACAATCTTGGAATTGTTTGTGTATTTTTTTACTTTCAACATGTTTCCAAATGTTCTATTAATATTTTCCAAGTCATCTAACCTCTCCACTAATCTGAATTTTGGGTTTGGATCATGTAACAGATACTGTTTTGTATTTATTATGACTTTGTAGCCGGTTTAGACCATGTAATGGATACTGTATTTACTATCAAAATTTTGCAAGGAAACTAAATGTTAACTGAATGTTGCAGATCAGAGCAGTGTGATGGTGTCCAACGTATCAGAAGGAGTCAGCATCCTGAAGATAGAAGGGGTTACTGCCTCTCATGCTGGGGTCTATTTGTGTGTGGCCTCTCATGACAAGAAGCTCACTACGGTCTCTGTCACCAAGGTAAGGGAAATGTAAATAGTACAAGAGTTAACGAAAAACAAACATCTCTAATCAAGAGTTAGGGTAAAATTGGTAAAGGAGAATGTGTGATGACGTCATGTATCATGTGACGTGTATTCGCAGTTTTAAAATATATGTCTGACGCAGCAGACACAAATGTATTTTTACCATGAAAATTACATAAGATACTACGGTTAAAAAGTTAGTTCACTTCAGCAAAAGTACTGTACTTTCAAATTGTAATCTTAGGTATCATACTATTAGAAACAATATTTTGGTTACCGGTATTTATACAGATGGACAGGTCCTGAAATTTCTAGAAATTTGGAAAAAATATATTTCCGATCTTTAGGTGTTCTCAGGACAGGATTTTTTCCAACTCAGTGATTTAGGTAAGGGACTTGGTCCGCCCTGATTCAATCAAACGGTGATCTTGCTGTGATTGCGAGTGACCATATCTCCGTGAACGCGGGAGACAATCAAAATTTCATGGCTATTGCGGGAGACGATGACGATGTCTCAACAATTGCGGAACATGTTTAGGATTTCACCCATATAGTAGCATACTATGATTATGTCTCTGAACTACAGGAGGTAAAAGCGATATTGCTAGGATAAGGGATTTTATTTGTGATAGCATAGAACAGTTTAGCCTAATAAAGACTAAAATTTTCATATGTCTCTGAACTGCAGGAGATAACAGGGATAGTGCTAGAATAAGGAATTTTATTTGTGATGGCATAGAACAGTTTAGCCTAATAATGTGCAACAATTTTCAAACAAATAAATGATTCCCTTGATGAATGGGAAGAAAAAAACCGTCCCAAAAACAAAGAGGGAAATAAATCTGTATCAGCCCTGTTCTTACTGTATGACCCCGTCCATTCCTAGTTGGGTTGGTAACCGTTGTTTGTTCCCGCAGCAAGTGACGGTGGAGCAGGTGTTGCGGCCGCCAGTTATAACCAAGAGACCAAAGTCGCAGGAGTTCCCCACTGCCAAGACAGTGAGATTCCAATGCGAGGCAGACGGCAACCCTCCCCCAGACATCATGTGGTATAGAGACGGGCAGAAACTGCACATCAATGGTAGGAGTCTGGTCACATAGCATCACACTAACAGTTAAGAATTGTTGAAGTTGTTAATCCAATGCATCAGGGCCAAATTTGTGTTCCTAGTTGTGAAAACGTCATGTACAGATTGTGTGAACAAATGTCTTGTACTGTTATTTCAACAGTTATTTACTGTTGGATTAATTCAAGAATTTTTTGTCATGGATGAATACCAGTGTTTCTGAGTACTAAAAGAGTAAGAGTGGTTTTTTGTTTTAGTTGTAAGATTATATCATTAGTTGTTAGATTGGTGAAGTTGTAGTTTATATAATTTATTTCATTATTTTTTCATTGTTCTAAAATTTTTGTTTAGTATTATTGTCTGGACGTTTGTCAATGCTATGTAAACTAGTTAGTTTGCTGTGGCAATAAAGTCATGAGTTATGATTTCTAACGTGCTCTTAGCAACAAATATATCCATCCTGGGTTAAATCTAACGAATAATCTTTTACTTAACATTCATACCCTGGTTAGGATGTACAAACCTAATCTAATTTCCTAACCCTTTTATCCCCAAGTTTACGAACTATACATCTGAATCTGTTTGTCTGTTTAGGCCGTATCAAGCTGAGGAAGGAGCTAGTAGTGAGCAACACAGTCAGCAACGACAGCGGAGTTTATCAGTGTGTAGCCTCAAACAGCGAGGGAGTGGCGTGGGCCGCAGCGAGGCTACTGGTGAATGTGTCACGCGACCAGCCGAGGCCGCCCACGCGAGTGTCGTGCGTGCCTGTGTCTACGACAGCTGTGCAGCTTTCGTGGGAACAACCGTCGAATGCTGGCCTCAAGGCTTTCACCATCCATTATCTGCCCACAGGTAGGGTAGAGAACATGAATTTAATTGTTTAAAGAATTGTTGCAGACACTTTCCATCAATAGTACTGAAGAGTTATTGTTTAACCAATTCAAACCAACCAAGGAAAGATCAAATAAGCAGAAAGTTTAGCTCCATAAAACAGTCTAAAAATCTTTAAACATGTATTAAATACTCAAATTACATTTGTTTGTTTTCCACTATACAATCATCACAAAAATTATACAATAAACACAATTACTCTAACTATCAAATTTGAGATAGTGCTACTCATTCACAGTTTTTATGTTTGCAACACAATTTGAGACCTGAAGAGTAGCATAGCGATTTGCAGGTATAAAGAGTTCACAAACTGTGTGTTACGCAGAGTGCAAAAATCTGAAAGTACATTTGAATTCAGATCTCTTAAACCTGACTCGTATCTTCTGAATACAGGTAATGATTGCAAAAGACATTGTCTTGACGTATCTGCTCCCATGTACAGTCATATTACACGGAACTAGCGGGCGACTTCATGGTACCAAGTCGGAGAATTCAATTTGGAGATCGGATTATCAAGACTGTACTTTAAAACAAAATAACTAGTGATGTAAAATGTCCATAGCAATCCTTTAAACATCATGATTGAACATTACATGATTAAATGTAATAGTGAGGAAAGTTATAATGGAAAACTACTTTTTATTTACTCAGAAATGATGCAATCATTTCGGCAGTGTGAGCTTGTTGAATTACTAATCCGATCTGTAAAAATTTGTTGTTGACAAATTATATTTTACTATAGACACCCATTCAAACATTGTAAGACAAAACTGTTGTCATGTTGTCAAAACTAAAAAAGTCAGAACCATCATAGATAAAAACTACACTAAAACCACCTAAAACCAAACCACACACATGATGTGTGCAAGATAAATAAACTAAAGTATTAAACAGTAAAGAAATTTAGTTACAACATCTCTATATATTGAAGAGCGCTAGACAATCATTTAGAGATTTGTTTGTTTACGTTTGAATATCGGCCATGGACGTAGTGGTTCAAGTCCATGAGTCATACTTAAGTGGCTCTCCAAACCATCTCAAGTCTGAACCAAAATTATTTAACAAAAGGGAATTGAATACTCTATTGCTAGTGTTAAATAACACATTGTTGTTAGACTAATGGTTTATTGATACATTACATTATGATGAATGTGAAATTGTATAAATGTTGATAAATAATAATACATATATACACACCGGGTGTCCCATAATACTCCCCCCTGGTTAATTTTTAAACGGTTACATGTATTCAAACGAGCTTCGATACACTTTACTATGGCAATGTAAAGTACTTTTTGGGGGTATTTTGAAATTCACCCCCTACCCCCAAATATGGGTTGCTGGGAATAACTTAAAATTTTTAAATAGTAACCCCTATCAAGTATCACATAATTTTAAACAATAATTTTGAAGGTCATTGGTTAAAAAAATATCGTCGAAAACCAGAGGTCTCTATCTCAACCCATTACAGAATGGCGGACATTTTTTATTTTTCATCAGCCTGAGAGAGCAAATGTAAACATATACAACAATATCCCCTATTAGAGTTTTTATGGGTTGTACCAGGGAAACTAAACTCATTATTATTTTAACAACACTCTGAATACTCAAAGATTTGGTTTTTTTGTTGTAGGCTATAATGTAGTTTCAAGGGCTGAATTTGGGTTTATGAGACAAAAAATGTCACAGCCTTTACTTTATGCTATTGAGTCTATAGCATATTTATTTGAGTGTGAAGAGGTTAGTTTTTATACTGAATTACATTTAAACTATGTCTAAATCAAACGAACATGTTAAAATTAAAATAACTATTCATTTAGAACTAGAGTTAACCTACTAAAACATTATACCTTATTTGTTTACCGTGTAGATCATCTCCATTTTCAATTTGCCACGTTTAATTACATTTTTAAGCCAATTTCTCTTCAGTAGACGTCCCCTCTTTATTCTTAATTTAATTAACAATAATTTCTAAACAGACGAACAATCAATATTGAAAATATCTACAATTTAATTATGTTCAATAACAAACTCATGATAATGTTTAACATATCAGCTGCTGACCAGCATTGTTGCGAGTTGCGAATATTCTGGTGCCACATTGGTAAAGTATTCCACGGTTTTGAACAGTTGTAATTATCGCATTGTTTGATAAAAAAATACCCCATACATAACCAATATTAACTGGTATTTAGGGGAATGTCATCGTCTTTTGTACTGTATTTAGTAATTTGCCACTATACTGTAGATAGTTTGTTACAAGCATATGTTTCAATTAATTTATTTACATTTGCGTAAAACTGTCATGGCTACCTAGCTTTCCATAAGACCAATGTTGAATATATCTAAATTTCATTTAAAGTTTTGTGACAAAAAACAATTTTTTTCAGAGCAGTGTTTAGCATGGATTGGATATTGTTTTTAGCCTGAAAATAAGATATCCTTAACAATTTACATGAAATCATAGGATTAAAATTCATTGTGTAGCCCCTGAACTGTTGAATAGACTAAAAATTAAGGTACATACCTTCACGTCCACAGTTCATATATGTATGGTTAAACCCACTACATGTTTCGCCTATACATAGGCATTGTCAAGTGGTCCTTCAAGAACGTTTCGTCCATTGTAGACTCGTCAAAAAACATTTAAATAGATACACAAAACACGATACATTGTACGAAACATTTAACACTTAGTAGGCCTACTATTTACCGGTCGCGGTACGGAGGCAGACTGGCTGGAATTATGTAAATCATAGGAGCCGTTTTTGAAACTATTGTGCGCAAACATTACTCGTATTATAGTATGGATTGTAATATTTTTCCAAAATATTATTGGCTGACTAAACATCGTTGTACTATATTGTGACCATTCCCCAGATGGAGGGGAGGAGCGGATGATGGTAGTTGAGATGATCAAAGGGAAAGTTAACCAGAGTCTAACTGTGGACAAGTTGCCTCCGTACACCAACTACACCTTCTACGTCAGGTCCTACAACAGCAACGCTGCTTCCGACAACAGTGAGGAGGTTGTCTGTCAGACGGGTCAAAGTGGTGAGTCTGACATTCTCCACACTTACCTTTTAGGATCATGTTATAAAAAATCATTTAGTACCTGCTTGAGTAGAAATGTTTTTTTTTATTTCTTCCAGTTTTAAGGTTGATGAGTTGTATAACAATTCACGCAAAACTGGTTCTACAACGTCTGTGAACTTTATAAGATTAAAAAATAATTTATAAAATAAACAATCATAAATTAAAATTAAAGATCTTTTAGGGCTTTAAGCTCTATAATTTTATTTCACTACTGCGACATTTGACGTTTAATGTTTAAGTTCTCACTAAATTCTTCAAATGTAAGGTTTTTCTTCTACTTAAAGACGATGATGATGTCTCTGTGACTGCAGAAAATCTTCCTGGTTGTACTGTGATTGCAGGAGTTGTTCATGGTTTTCTGTGATCAGCGAAGACATAACATTGTTACAGCCATCATAGAAGATGATGCATAATTTTTTTTTACTGATTGTAGGATAACAAATCAATACTTTCCAAATCAACCTTGTTTTGTCATGATGCGATTTCAGGCTAGAGAGTCTGGCCCACAGATCCTATTCAGGTAAATGTACTATCCTAAAAAAAATTCTTCAAACCATTGTACTCTGTTACACCCTTTTGCACCAAATGGTTGGAGTAACCTCAAACATGAATGTTGCAGTGCCGCAATCTATTCCCGTGACGAGAGTGACGGCGCAAGGACCCATGACAGTCCAAGTGGAGTGGGATCCACTGTCTCCTCACGTGGCTCAGGGTCAGGTGACCCAGTACAAGGTGCAGTGGAGGCGCAAACACCATCCAACCATCCACGTGGATCAGGTGCCAGGAGATATCAACACCTACGTCATCACAGGTAACAATAGACAATCATCTTTATTCACATAGTGCACAAGTTATTTCTTTTGATTATTGTAGTTTTTGTTACGTATGAGGTTACCGTAGATGTGCCAGAGTACACAACCACTTCATTTTGTGTTGGCAAATATTTTGTGTGTAAAAATCAAAACAACAAACTTCAAAGGTAGAAGTAAAATATTTCCACATAAAGAATGATAAAAAAAAATTGATATTCCTATTCATAACTGTATTGTATTAGGGTACTGTAGTTTTACTGGAGTACGCAATTTTGACAGCATATGTTTGATGTATGTATGGTTTGAGATTGCCTGATCCATATAAAGCTCTTCGATTTGTGGAGAAATTTCCACCCACACTGAAAAATTTTACAACTGTCAGTTTGCTTCCTACGCTCTTTACTGATGTTACTGCGTTCTGCCTATCAGAAGACTTCATTTGAATCAAGATGTCTCCAACTGCAACATTACATCAAAAATTGTTTATTGAAACGTCAAAAACTAAAAAAAAATGTGGGTGTGTCCTCCAGTACTTCTACAGTATCCAAATTCATTACAGCTGGGAGAAAGTGTGTGTATCAAAATGTTAAAATAATCTTGTCTTGCGAGAAAAGATCTCACTTCAAATCTTTTAGTCTGTAGATTATTTTTCTTTGGAAATTTTGGGGAAAATAAAATGGTCCAGTCAGGAAAATAATACGTATTGACTTCAGTTATGGTAAGCAGGGCTAAGTTGTTCCCTTTGTATTTCAAATAATTTATAAAAATTAGAGTATTGAAGCTAAATAGATTGCTTTTCCAAGAAAGTGCTGACGTTTTTCATGGTTGTAGGGCTGATACCAAATACGGAGTATGAAGTGAGAGTGCAAGCCGCCACAGTGAAGGGATGGCCAAGCCTGACTGAACACGAGATGCCTTGGACCTCGGTAGTGACTCCGCCACAACCCTCCATATCTCCCCTGCTGCCCCCACCTACAGTACAGCTGACTGTCATCAACTCTACCACAATACAGGTATAGTCAAGGATTTAGTTAACTCAGAAAGCCCTTTAGGATGCAAATTAACTTGTTCGCTACCGACAATTATTTTGAGCTTTTGAGTATCATTACGTCACACGTGTATAACACTTGTGTTGCTTGTGTACATTGTATCAACATATGTTCTGGCCTATGGCATATGGCATATGGTTCGTCTATTGGGTCTGATGATGATTGGAGTGTCCAATTGAAATCGATCACCATTTAACAACTATCATATGTATTTACCATCTTGTGAATCAACAGTTTAAGTGTAAATATATTATTACTACAGTAGACCCCCTCTTAACCGACCCTAATGGGACCGGACCTAGGTCGGATAACTCAAGAGGTCGGATAAAACGGACAATCCCTATAAAATCATAACATAAGGAAGTGCTATTCATTTGGAATTATATAATCATTATTTTGGAATCATAATTGCATTATTTTTTAAATAAACTACTCTTATCTCCTTTTTCCTATTGATAGAAAAGTCACAAATAAACACAAAACACGGTTAAGTCAAATAGGCCTACTTTCAGTGGAATATATTATAATGCTAGGCAAGAGTCAATAAAATTCCTATTTTAATAACTTTAGTACTGTAATTTATTAATTGATGCTTTACAAATCCATCGTAATGAGGTACAGAACCTTTTGTCAAAATTAAAGATACAAGCAAACCATTTTGTTACAAGACAGGACGTTTATTTATAGCTTCTCACTGGAGGCTCGAGGCACAAAAACTATCTTGACCTTGGAGTTGTTAACCACCCTTCCCTGCCCTCCCAACAAGTTGCGTTGTTTGTTTACTCCAGCGATAAGATAATCAGTTCTCAAAATCGTAACACACTTTATGATGTTATAAAATTGCCGCACAGATAACGAACAGATCAGATGCGCTCGAGCTACGAACGATGATGACAAACTGACGATAGGCTGTGCTATATTTTTTGTGATCAACACAAAATAACTTATTCTTAGTCATATCCTGTGGAGATAAGCGTATGGTTCGGTTCTCATCGCTCAGCGTAGGAGCGGAAATGCCGAGATTCCTAGAAAGCGGCGGTTAAAACGAGCTGCTCTCAAAGCAAGGTCGGTTAAAACAAACTGTATTATTTTACGATCGAAGGCGGATAATCCGATTATCGGTTAATACGAGGTCGGTTAAGAGGGGGTCTACTGTAGTGATATTAGATGTATAACTTTTTTTCAGATATGTTCTGACTGCCTCTATTCAAGTCAGGGTTAACGTGAAGATGATTGATGAAATTTTATAATTAATACAGCAGAACTATTGTACTTTAAACCTTCCTTAAACAATTTTATCACTAATTGTCTTTCCAGGTGCGATGGACCATGCTGGCAGAGTCTGTGGAAGTGGAAGGCTACCGACTGTCGTATCGCAAGCACAATTCTGCCCCGTCCAGTCCCATCCAACTGCCTTCAAACAGCAGTGATTACATGCTGCTTGGACTAGGTAAATATGTTACAGTGTGTAGTGTTAATAATTCCTATCTTGTTGGGAAGACAGAAAAAATAATTTTGTATTTATATCAGGGGATGGGATGCAATAGGATTTTATCTCATTTCTCATTTCTGATTTGCGGGACATGAACGAGACAGAATTTTTCTTCACATATACTGAAGGGAACTATTGTTTGTTTTAAAAATCTTGAGTAAAAATTCTTGCAAACAGCAATAATTAATCTTGGACCTCACAAACTAAAGTCCCCCGCTCTACCACTAGACCGCCGTGCCCCCCCCCCCCCCCCCCCCCGACGGTGGCACTAGCTTTACTAACTATCTCCCACAATTGCAGGGCCATCATCGTCAACTAGGATCGTCGAGTCATTACCATCGTCTCCTGCAATAGCTGTGAAATCATAATCATGTCTCGTTATCACAGCGAAAGTACTGACATTTGGAATATTCTCAGTCCTGAGAAAATAGTTAACTAAATGCAACCCAGGCCAAAAAATCGAGATTTCTTTGAAAATTTCCTAAAACTTCAGGTCTTGTCCATCCATACATAAAATATAGGGGAAAACCTTAACAAAATCTGGCATGCAATAGGTTAAGGTAGAGCTAACACAAATTGATGTCTTTTGCAAAGGTATAGCTATCCTTCTATAAAGTGTGAAAGCAGCTGTTGTCATTCACAGATCCGCAGACCTGGTACGAAGTGCAAGTGCAAGGGTTTGTAGGAGAAACAGCAGGAGAGGCGGGGGTGAGAGCTATCCACACATTGCCTCCACTACACAACGCCACCCCCGCACCTGCTCTTGCCCCGCCTACCAATCTAGAGGCTAGCCCCGCTTCAGCATCCGCTATCAACCTTACCTGGGACATTCCCCCTGCGTCTCACAACAATCACAGCTACTACACTGTCAGCTACCTCATCGTCTCCTCCTCCCCCAGCGAGGAAAACAATACCAGCTTTCTACACAGGTAAGTAAAATCAAACTATTAATGAAACACCAATCTTGATAATCCAAATGTTATGGAACCCACAGGTTCAGATAAACAAGAATTCCTTATTGCTAAGGGTATATTGCTGAATACCCATGATTAGAAGGAAATTATTTTAAAAACAATTATTTTATGAAGATATGAGACATAATTACATCGATTTACGATATTTACCATATTTAAAAAATATATATTTACAGTTTTGACTTGCGTACTTCCATGTAGACTTGTTATGAAAGAAAAAAATAACTCGAACAATACATAAAATAACACTATACATTTTTTGTCCTAGGACACAGGGCTCTAGCCTGGGATAGTTTTTTATGCTACTTCAGGCTTGGCCTAGGGGTTGCGCTATAATCACTTAGATGAAATTCATTGCTAATCGAGCAGGATTTGAACCTGGGCTTGAAGTCACACATTCTACCACCAGACCAGCTTGCTCCCCAAAAAGCACTAAACGTAAAACAAAACTGAAAGCTTTTTTCAACTGAACTTTACAGTAAATATTTTCCTGCCTAGCAACAGGTCCAATGTCTACGTTGTTGAATTTGAAATGTAACCTTCACGAGGTTGTCAGACTACTAAACTTTTTGGACTGGTAAATGTCAGATTATCAAGATCAAACTGTAATATCAGATGTTTGTACGGTAGTCTTGATTATCTGACCTAAACCAATAGCAGAAAGGTCGAATAAGCAGAAAGTTTGGTTAACAACAAACTCAATAAAATACCATTGTAATAGTAGCTTATGCAACAATTGCGTAAAGATAGTGTTAAAGACACTAGAAAATGTAAGGAACGAGCCTTGGCGAGTGCCTTTAAAACTTCTACAAGTGTCGTTAACAGTAACACTAATTACGCGAGTTGCGCACACTACTTTGCCTACGACAGTGTTTTAACTACTAAAAATCACTACTCTAAACTTCAAAGAGAGGTTATGTTTTCGTTTATAACCTCTCATTGCCACTGACAGTGACACAACGAAACATTGTACCAAACACTAATTGCACCAATCAACAATTAAATTGGCCTGAATGTCTGATTGGTTGAAGATCAAACTATTACAATTTTACTTCTTCTCTCTCAATCCTTGAACCTCATTGGTCCGTTACCTGTGTTGTTATGAGTAAAACTATGCTGTTATGAAAGTAAACAATGCTGTTATGTGAAATTTTTCAATTCTAAGAACTAAACTGAAAAAGTTACTTAAAAAAAACAGTCGTAGGTAAAATCAATAAAGTTGTTACACCTTCTTTCATACTTTATTCAAGGCTTTGTCTTCCATTGAAATCTACAAAATTTACAAAGTAAAAACACAGCACACACCACTGCTGTAGGGCCTAACTTTAAAATGTAAAGTAAAGGGATACTCCTCCCCTCAGGGTCTCTGTTTTCAATGTGAGTAAGACTTTAGCAGAAGCAGAAAGGTATGCGGGTATGAAAAATTTACAAACTGTGCATCAGGCTAAACTGATCAGTACAACACCCTAAACCCTGGCACATTTTTTGAGTAGTCGGTGAAAAAATGGTTGCCTAGACGTACCCACTAAGGTAAACACTAAACAGTCATCCCAAACAGAAACAACATGCAATTTCACAGTACTTGTTGTCTGCAGAGAGGATTGATAACATGGGAGGTCAGTTAATCGAAGATCAGATAATAAGGAATACTGTATTACTATATAGAACAGATTGTTCAGGCTACTTTGTAGTTGTTCATGGAAAATTATGTAGATGGAACACCAAAAATATTTTTGTAAAGAATATGTTTTTTGTTAGTTTAGCTCCAGAAAAATTTACTTATTTGACACTTGTTTATATTGTGTGACACTTATTTTTCCTTTGTGTGACAGTACAAGCAACGGAGTACGAGTGAGTGGACTGAGACCGTACACTCTTTACCAGTTCAAGGTTCGATCCCACGATCACAACAATCGACACAGCGAGTACAGCCAGATAGTCGAGTGCCAGACCTTAGAAGATGGTGGGTGATAGTTCAGTTGATACATCTTTCTTGTTATGTGATAGATTGCCTAAACCACTTTTATGATCCACTACACAACTTAGAGTGCATTTAGAGTGCATCGAGTTATTTAGAGTGTTGAACTGGTTACATGTGCAATAGAAACCTTCTCCCACCACGATCGTTTTTGTTTTGTACAGTCACCTCAATAACTGCCGTTAGATCTCATTACTATAATATAATGTAATCAATCAGTAATGAAAGAGTGGTAGTGTTTGTTTTTTGTCTCTCTTGCACCATCCTCCCTATTGGGAGGGATGTATACGTGTATACACCATCTTAATTGACATGATTTAGTTCCATCTAATTTTGGATCATCACAAACTAGTGGGATTGTATAAAAGTATAAGACATGTTTTGTTCCTTTACACAAAGATAAACACACATGAAAACTTTTTCTGTTATACAAATATACCCTTTCTTAAAGAAATATAATGAAATTAAAATACTTTTAATATTGAGGCGAACATTAGGACCACATGGTCCTTTCTTACAGTTAACCTCTTATGTACTAAATATAAACTAAACAATGCATTTTTATAAAACTTTTAAAACTATAATCAAAATAATAAGTAAAAACTAAAGTTATAAATCTTTGTCCCTAATATATATACCATAATTACTGTCTTTTTTAACAGCAAAAGTACAAAATAATCTATACAGTAAACACAGTTATAGTAGAAACACCAATTAATAGTTTATGTAACAAGTTAGTTTTGGCAACAAAGACCACTCGGCTTATTATTGCATGAAGGAGAAATGGATGGATACACATTTGACTTTCCCAGAAAAGAGTTTTAGGCAGTTAACAGCACGTTTTATTCACAAAACAATTAATTGATATTTCGTCCCTTCAAGGGTTTTCTTCAAAAGGAAGTAACACCAGGAAAAGAAGTTGACTCAATACTTTATAGTTAGAAACCAAAGAGTAAAATATTCGTACTAGTAATATATATGTTAGGGATGGACGAGATTGGATTTTTAGTTCGAGACGAGACAAGACGAGATTTTTTATTTCTCATAAAATTTCGAGACGAGATCGAGACGGGATTTCCCTTCTCATACACAACGGGAAATGCACGTTCAAAATTTTTACCTGATTTTGTAACATTGTTAGATGACTGTTTAAATACAAAAATAATGATAATAGGCAAGAATATTTACAATCTTTTATTAAAAAACATCAGCATAACATTTTTTTATTAATTACGCCTAACTTATTAAAAATGCCTACGATTAGGAAACATAGTGATATCAGTTAGGATAGAGTTCAACTTATCCTAAAATAAAATAAATCATAAAATAAAAGCAATATTAATTTGTTATAAAATAGTTAGGTACTTGTTTTGACTTTTTATAGTAATAAAACATTCCTCGCACTGCTTACACTTAACAAAACTTCTCAAATGTTATTAAAGTAATATTATTAAAATAATTAAAGTAATATTTACATTTAAGGAATTAATTAAATAAGAACGCCTTCGCAAAGGAAACGCAACTACAACACGCTCCTGTATTGCGGGTATTGCATTGACTTTCTGCAGGCGTTTTTAATTTTTTTTTTTTTTTTTTATTCTCGTCTCGATAAAAATCTCGGCCAAAAAGAAATCTCGTCTCGTGTAACAAGATTTAAAATTTCCCGAAAATTTCCCGAAATTTCGAGACTTGACCATCCCTAATATATGTATTTAAATACATAACCTTCTATATTACAGTGCCGGAGAAGGTGCTGGAAGTCCAGTACAAGCCTCTGAATACGAGCAGTGTGAAAGTTATGTGGAAGGAACCGAATGTTACCAATGGGAACATTGTTGGTTACGAAGTGAGCTACGCACGACAGCTGATGTTGCCCCCGGAAAAGTGGAAGAACGTTACGGTTCACGACACCAAGACCTGGACTGAGGTAAGTAGATTATGCAATTAAAACTAAATATATTCTGATCTCAAGTGTCTTAATCACTTACATTCGCGCCTCACCCCTCTGTATTCAGTGACTAGTAGATTATTTATTTCCTTGCTACGTTGAAAGATGATAAAATATTTAAGTGTTTTATTGAATTTTTAGGCCTCCATCTGTTTGTCTATACTATAAATATACTATTTTACTTTTAATTTAATATGAAAACAACAAATGTTGTAAACATTCTTTAAAAGTTAAAAAGGAATGAAGAAAATGTAATACACATCAACTAACATAGTTTCGATGCCATTTTAATTATATTAAGAATACATTCATAGTACTTGTTAAAACTAAAACTAATGTATATAAAAGGAAGTCAATGTGACATGTTTATGAATTATTTGGTAAAAAAATCCAACAACAAAATGGGAATTCACTTAGTTTGCAGGTTCAACAATTGCATTAATTCAGCAACTCGTCTGTTGATTTCACAGGTGTCTGGCCTTTCCCCCAACACCAAGTATTACATGGTAGTACGTGGGGCCACGTCAGCTGGGCTAGGAGCCCCTTCAGACCCTAGGGAGGTGTTCATCCCTGCTAGGGAACGCCCTCACACCAGTCCAGCCCCTACCCCCACCCCTGTCAATACTACCCAGCCCAATGATCAGTTCCTTGGTGAGTATTTAGCTTTGAGCTATAGGAGTTAGCTCTTCTCATTGGATATTGTGCCACTGTCAGGCATTTTGTAGTATACTTGGGATGGTTTGAACCTATTTTGAGTCTAGATTTGGGTGTCGTCCATTAATGCCCACTGGCTCAGAGTTACAAGTTCTTGAAATTACTTTTGAATTTGAGCAGAGCGTCCAAATGATACTTTACCCTCTGGACTTGTACTTACCAAAATTACAAACCAACCAGGCTGAAGTAGTAAAACTCTAAACTAGTGCTACCTTAATATCAAACCCAGTGGTAGCTTCTGATTGATTATAATGCTGCCAACGATACTTAGAGTAGTTATAAAGAGTAGAAGACAATGTGTAACTAGGTGTCTTTGGTAATCCCAAAAATTGGAATGTGACGGGAAAGAAGTCGTTTCCTACCTATTAAATAAATCTAAGATAAAGGGTGGAAGTTAGGAAATGACAGAATCATTTCTTCGTAATCGTAAGAGATTATGATCAGAATCAATATTATTATCTTCCTAGAGAATGAACGCTGTTTCTAAAATATGTAGATTTTTGTGTTAAGTCAAATAATTTTACTTTCACAAACTTTAATTGGTGTGACTTGCAACCTAACCTAAAATGTGATTTTACAGGTGTACTGCTGGGCTGTGTGATAGGAGGTTGTTGTGTAATTCTGTGCATGGCCACGCTCATCTACAGGCGCAAGTGCTCGACGCACGCTCAGTGCCGCACCACCCAACGTGCCTCTAATGGCGCTCAGTGCTTCCATTCTACTCCAGAACACCATGAAATGCAGTGCCTACCCCATCACCTCGACACAAAGGTACGGTCTTATAACAGGATGGAAATACTGTGGAATTGTTGGATAGAATTGTTATTTATAGCAACCTCATCTTTGGTAGTGTATTAACTATTCAACTACATGCTCCATGGCGGACAATTCTCATTGCCTAGCTAATTCTAAAATTTATTCAAATATTTTTACTATGGTTTTGGTGAACTCAAGTTTTATAAAGGAGTACTGTTAAAAAGGGGTTAACTATAAGAATAGGTAAGATCTTATTAGACTATCGCTAAGTAAAAGTATTTCTTCATATTTGTTTAAGACCTGCCTTAATAGTGCTAAAAACTGACTTAAGCTAAAAATAGCTTGTTTTGAGTCATGTTCAGCGGACGGTTACTTGACCAGTGCTGAATGTGCTTAAGGGAGTAAATTATTGTATTCCATAATATTTATTCAATAAAGAATTTTCCTATTTCTATCTAACTTAAGTAATTTTCTTCATAATATAATTGTTTAACACAATTACTTGTTGTGTTCTATTTAAATGTTCCTGGTTGATGCACACGTAGTATGTAAATGTAAATTACCTAAACATCTTGTTTACTCACAAGAAATTGAGGACATTTTCTGTAGGCCATAAATCGAGCTAGTTAGTTTGTAGTTTTAGCTCTATGTTCCATAAGTAAAGAGATTCAAGACATGGTTACCATTGTACTCAATATTGTTTAAAACCATTCCTGAAGTCTGTATTTTCATCATTTAATTTGATAAACATTTTCTCTATAGTTTCTTTTAGATTTTAAAACAAAAATATAAAGTTTTTTTACACGTTTTGCTTTATTTTGCAACAGGGTGGTCATGCCAATGGCGAAGTGAATGGTTTGAAGCTGCCTTTACTGAGTAACGGACGATTGCCAAACGGACTGGTGACAAGAGAGAGAAGTGTAAGAATCACAGAAAACCCACAGGTAAATACTTGCAAGGTTCATACTTATAATCAATCCATCTACCTTTCAATATAAACAATAAACGTTGTCGCAATTTTTGAATTTTTATATAACAAAGTACATTAACTGAACTGTAAAGGCTCATGGAAAAACTTATTGATGCCTGTGAAAAATTTTTGCAGGAACACAGGATCAAACCTCTGTCTTGTGACTATAAAGTTATTTATTTATTTATTAAAATACATCACATAACGCCTAAGGTGTGCTTCTGCACGCAGGCAGGTAAATTGTCAAAAGATACTTAGAATGCATAAAATTATCAATTATTCTAGAAAAAGTTTACTTGAACCCAATGTAAGTTATTAGAATTATATTTTTGATACTTATATTTTGCAACAGTTTGTTACAGTTTGAGTGCAGTGTAACAGTTTCTTGTGAGGAACTGCGCCAGCCCAGCTATGAGGGAGACAGCCTGCTGAGTGGCCACAGCATCAATGACACTTTGTTGTTACAGTTTGAGTGCAGTGTAACAGTTTCTTGTGAGGAACTGTGCCAGCCCAGCTATGAGAGAGACAGCCTGCTGAGTGGCCACAGCCTCAATGACACTTTGTTGTTACAGTTTGAGTGCAGTGTAACAGTTTCTTGTGAGGAACTGCGCCAGCCCAGCGACGAGGGAGACAGCCTGCTGAGTGGCCACAGTCTCAATGACACTCAACTGACCACAATCAATTCACACACACTGACACAGTCTCCGTGCGCGCAGGACAAGCATGAGCCTGATGACGGGTTCCATGAGAGTCACCAGCCGATGGTGGGGCCTAACGGCTGAGTGCCTCACCTCGCTCCACCCCGCTCCCTCCGCCAATGCCCCACCTCGCAACAGTGCTACATCGCAGCCAACAATCTATCCACTATTATTATCATATAGGCCCTAACATAAATTTTATACAGTATATGAGATGGTTTATGTTTAGAATTTCGAAGTAGTTGAACTAAGCAATATAGGAAGTGACCTAAACATATGGGATTAGCATTCCGTAATCTTAGAGATTTTTTTTCAATTTTATCATTGTGGATTTAGTTAATGTTAAATCGAGTTTTTTTCACATAATCTAACACGAAGCACCGAAATTAACAATGTTTCCGCGACGAGGTTGCTTGGTGGTCGGCCGTCTCATAGCAACCCTTTAGCCAATCTTGCAATACATAACATATAACCGTTACCAAATATAAGCTAGGGTCCCGGGTGTGAGCCCTTGTTCCTACGTACAACGACACTTGTCGCGACAAGGCTACGCGAGCAGCTTTTAATGTAGATTTATTTTAGATTAAGTCAAATAGTGGATTTTAAGAGATAATAGCTTAGACTATATTTTTTTTAGATTTAATTGTTAATAAACTTAACGGTGTGAAAGTGAGTGGTGGTCGCGCGTGTGTTGTTTTTATGTTCGCTGATACAACATCGTAAAGTTCAATTTATGAAACAGGGAATTTTTGTAAGACACTCGTCGCAGCTGTTCCGAAAGTTCTACGTGTTCCCTCGATCGTTCATAACCTTTTTTTATATATATTACATAGATATTAATAAACTGGTACCTGATTTTATTTTTTTTACATTGTTTTTGTATGATAGATGTATAGTCGTGTAAGCGTTGTTTCTTCTACGTGTGTATTCTAGACATAGTACAAAGGGCGAGTCGGACTCGTCCGCTTTTCTTTATCTCGGTGCTTTATCGGATGTTTTGCTTTTCACTATTTTCAAAGTTAGATTCGTCTTTGGTGCCTTTCACAAACGAGTAGTATGAAGGTGACTACAAAATTATTGATCTATCTACGTTTTTCTTAGTTGTCCGTCCATTTTGTCGGCCCGGCCCTCATCGGACTAATCCGATACGTCAACATTCCTTCAGTTGAGATTCAATATTCCATACAGAGTACCTTGCACCAAACGTTCCTCACATTGCCACATACAAAATACCTCACAACGGTCATGTTCCACATTATTATTTTAGTCTGCTGTTTATTGCAGTTTGCCTTTTGTCGTCGATTTCCATTCTGTTAATTCGAAGAAGGTAGATATGAAATTATCATGAAGCGACATTATTCTCTCTTTTTTAATTAACTATTGATACATAATAGTTTTACGAATTAATTATTTTAAACTAAATATATATTTTCTATATTTCTTTTCTCCTACCACATAACTTTTCAAAGTGGAGTAACTTCATTTTGAAATAAACTGACTACTGTGGTTTTTTATTATTTTTTCTGCAAAAAAATTTTATGGGCACATAATATTTGTTTACCAACATATTTGCTTAAATGCTACATAATTTATGTTTTTGAATAACTTTAAAAAATACAATAATGTGGATTATAGTATCAATATGCAAGATTTGTTTACGTTAAATAAAAAATGGGAATCTACCCTGGTAATTTTTGTACTGTTTTACGTTGTATGTTTAAATAAACATTCTTTGTTGCATGATTTAGTTGTTAAATAATGTATATCTCATATTTCAATTATTTATGTAAAATTTACCAAATTTCTTTTTCTCTTATTATGTATATCCTTTGTTAAATTGTTTCTGAATCATTCATAAAACTAATATAAACCCAGTTTTAAGAAACCTAGTTAGTCAGTTAAAATTCATACCAGACTACATAATAGTTACATAATATAAACATTTTGTGTTGAAAGACTTTTGATTGTGTTTGCTACGAATTAATTGAACGATTACATAATTTGTAAACATAATAATTTGTGTTGATAGTTTTACTCTCCAATTACTTTATGCAGTGTCATCTTTCAGACATACTTGATAGACATAATATCGAACATAAGACAAAATGCAATAAACCTTTTGCCATATTATTTAAGTTTATTCCAGAACTGTACAAACTCGATTTAGGTTAAGTCCACCTCCTAGGTTTACCCTTCCAACCTATCCTACATAGGCTATAGTGGGTTCATTTCCATTATGTTCCTCCCACTCCAAGTCAACGATGGTGCCTAGTAGGTTTTCCCATGTATCTAAATGTACTTACGGCTTTTCTGCGTTCTTGTTTATTGTACTTTGTGTATTTTTACCGTAAAATAGATCTACAATATTTTCCATAGCGTTGTTTAAGATTACTAGTTAGATAGAACACTGTATAATATTGCAACTACATACCTCGAATATCCGCTCGCAAAAGCGCTGTGAGTTTCTCTCCACCTTTCTCCAGTACAAACTAACGGCCTAGATGTCCGTGCAAGCTGGGTCCCGTTGTCGTCATGTCGTAAACTCCTCATTTCTCTCGTTCTTTTCTCCAATTCCGTCTGTTCGCAATCCTTCCTCTTAACGTTTCAGTTAAAAGATCACTTGTTAGTTTGACTCTACAAGTGGCTTTTCTTAGTATGAGTTCTAAAACATTATTTCACATTTTTTTGCAATGCAACAAAGATTTATTACTGATCACAAACTAAATTACAATAAAAAAAATTCAGAGTTCAAACCTCTGGTAAGTTAATAAGTAAACATAATATTTTCATTGAAGATTTAGCCTCCAGATTGCTCAGTAATATTGAGAAAACGTTTAAACTTTGAGTGTAGGCTCAAAGTACAATCCTTTGTTTGTTTGATGGCTTCAGGACTTAAAAGAGGCCTTGGGGCTATTAAACATTCCATCTGATATAGTTACAAACTTAAGACTAGTCGGTGGCGTATTAATCTAATATTGCTGTGTAACTGTAAAGACTAAAATTTATATATGTTTTAATTCCTTGTTGAAATTTTTTTCTTCCTCTAGCCTTTCTTAACAACATCATAAGTTTCCAAAAGATTTAGGATTGATTGGATATTTTTTGTGAACCAGTAGTCAGCCTCGGGCCTTAGTCTTTTTCATTGTATTGGTTTGATCTTGCCTTCCTAGTTTTCCATCTATTTATTTATCAACTATAAAAAGAATTTTAAATTTTAAAGAGACAAAGAATTTAATCTTTTTCTCAAACATAGATTGGTTAAAATATGTAAATAGAAAATATGATAACATTAACACAAATACTTTATAGGTACGAGTGAGCAACAGTAGAAGTTTTAAAATGCATTCTTATTCTTAGTAATTACTTGTAGGTAAAGTTGTCATAAAATATTATTATTTGTACAAGTTTATTGGAGACTTTTGAGTCTAAAGTCACTTTTTCCCCTCCTTATGCCCTCTTCCTACTGCGTACAGCGTATTGTGTATTATGTATTGTAGGGTTACGACAAGACAACGGTGTGTAGGGCCTGTGAATGCCTTTGCCTTTACCGTTTGCTCACTGCAGTTTACTATGCAATACTTTTATACGACATCGCGCTGTGCACACGACACGCACGACTGACACAGTCATAACCATTCCTACTGTCTTCACAGGGTCGCCTCTTTCTTTGTACTTTTGTAAGTTAAGCTTCTTCCCCTATAATATAGTCACTGTACTTATCGATTTCACTTGAATCTTAAGTCAGTGCGGAACAGAAGTTTCAGTAAAGACCGATATTAAAAAATATCGAAGCGGATATAAAAGCAGATCTTTTGGAAGCTAGTTTTGTGTTTACACGATTAATACATTTTATTCGACTTTACATGAGAATCTCCTGTTTTGCACTTAACAACGGAGACATCGTAACTCGATACGATCGTTAGGGATCGATTATCGAATGTCGAAAGTTTTAGAACCGTTGTCGCCTTACTGTAGATAGGCCAGGATGAGTTTAGAGTAGTCTTTGTACGCAAAGTTCCTCGGATGTTTCACGAGATTTGTTCGACACAGTGACTTTTTTACGCCGTTTTATATGTTTACCATATTTTGTATGACCGATTTTGTAAGCGAGCGTACAAACGGGTTTTTTACTATGAAACACAGTGTACAATAGCGACGTGAGTACAAATATGTATTTAACGATATCGGATAAGTTTTGTATGCAGTAGATTTTATACGATAGTGTGTGGTGTTGTTATCGGGTGATCCTGTGTTGACAATCTTGGTGTCTGCACAAAGATCTAAATGTTTCTGTTACGTTGGAGTTTAGTTTCTAATGCACATGTTGTACTTAAGAGGTGCGGTCGGTGTGCTCAACAGCCTGAGTCAGTCGTGCGTGTTGCAAGTGTCGCGTCGCAACTATCGCAGAACGCGAGTATCTGAGAGAACCTCACAGCCCTGCGATGCGACGTCGGGGCGTAAAGCCCGGCGTCTACTTATTTTTGTAATATATTCGTGTAAACTCATTGTAATTTGTGGTGTCTTTGCTATTGTCGGTTGACATTCAAATACCAAAAAGAAAAAAAAAATTAGGTCACTTTTGGACAGCACTTTTGAAAATGCCCCTAATCTCTTAACAGGTACGAATAGTCGAATCGCTTGATAGTATTATAATTATGGTTTGCGGCACATGTCAGTGGTTTTCTGTTTTTCTAGTATCGATCTATGCACAATGTATACGCATAATACAGTAGTATGTAAGAGTGAAATTCGTCTTACGAAAGTATCTTCGATTCGTATAAAGGTCATTTGAATCAGTGCCGAGAGTCATGTTAAATATAAATTTGTAGAAAGGGTTCGATCGACTTTTGTTTTTAAGTATGTGTCTATAAATTCGATATGTTTTGTTATCCTAAAGCGAGTATAACTGGCATAGAACATTTATTATTGTAACCTTTGTGTTTATGTCAGTTATTGCATAGTCGTCCGCTTTGAAAGCCGGAATTGGCCATAATAGAGTTGCAAGAGGTGTCCTCTCTAATGCAAATCGATTGCGTTATATTATCACTGTTTATTCGATCGATAAAATTAGTTTACGAAAAATTAATTTTCTGACATATCTCGTTTGATTCAGTGAAGGTAACTCTAGCACCGAGGAAGGCCAAATCCGGTGTTCATTAACCATAATCCATGTGTGAATGTTTAATCATGTGCGAATGGTCGCTTGTTAGTTTCTCGTTTATGCTAGAACTCTGCTCATTTACTTAGAACTTGTTGCTCAGTTGTTCAACACGTCCATTACGGGACGTTTCATCTACCTCATACTGGCAATATGGTATTACCTTTGTGTATGTTTCTATTATTTAATATACTGTACATTACGATTGCATTACTACCGTAGTCACTAACGGTAACTCTTGTTTCAAGACTGTGAGCATTACATCGCTCAGCTCTGTACACTTAACTTATTTATCCAGCCAAGTACTCTTATGTCTGCTGTTTACGAATTATTTGCAGATTATATACTCAGTATTATAAGAACAAATTTTCAGGTACAGATGTGAAATAAACCAAAACTCCTGTTATTTGTGTTTGTTCATTTTACCACTGTGTTCCGTAATTAAGTGCTCTATGGGATTTTAACCTTGTGGCTATCAAGGTGTAAAATTGTTGTGTTTGTATTCCAACCATAACTATGTATTCTTGTTAGAGATGAGGACAGGTTGTATAAATTTCATTTTCTCAAACAACCTCATTTTTGAGTACTTAGTTACTTTTAATTGTTTTGAAAGTAAATTCTTACAGTGGATTGCAAGTGAAATACTTCTGTTATAGTTCATTTGATTTGGAATTTACTAAACAAATATGGTAGTTTTGTGACTTCATAAATAATAATTATTGTTACAAATGCAGTTTGATTACATAAGCAATATCAGCAGTGAACTTATAATCATTGCCTGATGTGATTAATTTAACTATGAAATTATCAATTAGAGAAGAATAGCAAGTGTGATGTGCTATTGCGCAAGTCCTGGAGAACCATTCCCAACACTTAAGTTATTTGGTAATCATAAAAAAAATTAATTACCTTTAAATTGGTATCACTCTCAGTGTTGTTGGGAGCCTTTCTCGACATCCTAATTTACACAATATCTTTACCCTGCAATAATAATACAACTATTGAGTAAAACATTTTTATAAACTTAAATATTCATATACTTTAATTGTTGAGAGCATTATTATTGTAGTTATATGTATAAACTTCAGAGATTAGTTACAAGTTACGAACTTGAAGGTGAACTTGGATCTGAATTACTTTCTATCACCTATAACTCTTTTTAAAATTATGTCAAGATTCACACAATATAATATATGTACAACAATAGTTGATTGTCGATCAGCTGTTTCTACAAATTGAATATCTAAGTTACATGTTAAAATTTGCAATTCAGTCATTTCCAACTTTCATACTTGCATAAACAATAACTCCAGTAAAGGTTATGTCAACATTCAAACAATTGTAATTCATATAAGTCCTACAGCTGTAAGTAATACAGCTGATTGTT